ATTTTATTTAGGCCTGTCTATGGCCTTCAAAAAGTTGACGACTCTACATGTTTCGACGTTACATTCCTGAGGATGACGTTGTAACGTCGACACATTCCAAATTGGGACTCCCCAGAGAATTTATTCGCTGGATTTCTAACTTCCTGGACGATAGGAGCATCAGAGTTAATGCTGAGGGCACCTACTCCGAGTGCTGCTATCCGGAAGCGGGTGTCCCTCAAGGAGGAGTACTTAGCTCTACACTGTTTATCGTGTATGTCAGCGAAATGCCTCTCAAAGACCCAAACCACACGTTTTACTCACAGTTCGCAGATGATGTTGCAATCTGGAAGAGTGCTTCAAACCCAACAACAGCAACATACAATATACAACCACTACTAAACGAAATAGAATTGTACTGCAATAAACAAATTAAAACAAATCCTGGATAACTCGCTTCAATACTATAAGAAAAGTATTAATAGAAATAGAACTGATGAGCAAACTAGATTGTTATATAATACATGATGAACCAGTCCTAAGTACCTCTCCCCTCTAAACATCATAAATAACAATCTTACAGGCCAAACAGTGATAGGCTGACTGAAACCTAGACACAAACGTAGCTCTATTTTAAAAAAGTTTTGTCTGTAAAAATAGTATTATGTGTATGGGTGTATATGATAGCTAAGTGGAACTATATTGTGAACACGGAATAATAGTGGGATCATACATAAGTGAAGCTAGTAAAATTATACAAGTTAATATTACCCCATGAATTGTACGTAGCACAAAAAGGGTATGTTAATTTTGAATGCGGACAATGGACAAAATTTAACATACTGTGAGTAATGCAACAACAACGTAACAAGGGCTGTTACCTAGGATTCTGTAACAGTGCAAACAAAATAACAATTCCAGAGAACCTGACCAGCCCTGGTCCTAAACATGGAGCGAATCCCAATGAAGATGAAGGGAAAAGCTCAACATTCACTTTTGAAATGACTGAAAAACAGGCTTGAATAATGTTGATCCTAAATTTTATTTCGCAACCAGGATATTCCACACTATTATTCACATTTCAAAATAAACATGTAGATTTACCGTATGTTATTTTTGAGCGGCTCTTAGCATGATTGAAATGCTCAACAGTTACTGTGAGCGGTATAAGTAGCTCAGAGCTTTGGCTCTAAGTGAAACGAAGAGTGCAACACAATTAACCATTTTAAATTTCATGAAATAATTTAAATTGATAGATTAACTTTTCCTGTCACTGGAGACGGGTACTTTTGCTTATTGATAATAAGTCGATAAGTACCTTAACAGATAGTTAAAAAATGTTTACTTATTATAGTAAATTAACCTTTACACATGCAAACATATCTAGCACACAACAGAAAAAAAGAGTAATTTATTTTTTCTTGTCAAGAATTTTTCATGAACACAGATGTTTGATTGTATTTGTAACATTATGTAATAATTCGGTTATGCCGTTTTTATAGTTTTCTATAACTGAATTAGGAAAATACAATAATAAAGGTTTATGACGCATAATATTGAATATCTAACATTAATACTTTGAAAACTGTAAGCTACAATGTTTCGCAGAAGCCTAAATCAGCAGGTCAAGTAAGAAAATCTCTACACAATAGACAAAATTCTGATAACTAACTGATATGATTGTATAAGCCCATTCAAAATATTTAGCTCTTTATGTATAACTTTCGAATCGATTCAAAACCAAGACTACCTATATTATCTGTATGTATAGCGCGCGTTGCTACGACAAACAACATAGCAACCACTGTCATATATAAAAGCATTGTCGAAATTTGGAAGTTAACTGTTTATACTAAATGTCACGGTCGCGAAAGGTTACGAATATAAATTCGAATAAAGACATTTTAGAAATAGTTAAATAATCTATTTGTGGTGTTTAAACTATAACAACCATTCTAATGAGTAAACTTTGATTACAAAGTCGATGAATAATTGAGCAACAGCGTTAGCAGAGAAAGTAAAGGGCACAAAATGGAAATCCATTTACTTGTAATTTTAGAAGGAAGTAAATGATTATAAAAGAACAGGACAATTACTCCTTTAACGTTACAATTTACTTTCTCGTATTGGAGTTAAAATCAGGGATTGTTTGTTTGTTTGCTGTTAATCGCAAAAACCACACGATGGGCTACTTGTACTCTGCCTACTGCGAGTATCAAAATCCGATTTTTAGGGTTATAAGCTCTCAGATTTTCCACTGAACAAGCGTAAGGCTAATATTAAGGAGTTCCACAGCAGATATTCCAAGTCTGACATATTCGTCATACATCTAGAATTCGGCAAGTTAATGTAATATAAAAATATATATATCAAAGTTTCAAAACAATAACGTTTTAGCTAAGCTTGCTTATTTATTAGCACACTATTACAAAATAATAACAGTAATAATAAAAACGCTTGAAAATATCATAAGCTCTAACCATATTTAACACAAAATTTAATGTGTTTGTTGTTGTACAGAATGGCTTTTTTTCGAAGCTATATAATACCAGATTTAAAGCTTTACAATGGATCTTATCAAATTGTTTATACAAGTATGCCCAATCCATAGACGTTCGATATTTTCTACGTTAGATGGAAAGTCCATTTCTGACGAAATGTTGACAAGATTCTACCAACTTATCAATACTTTTGTTACTCTCTCTCAAAGCTTCTTTGGTTTTGTTCCTGCATTTATACACTACCAGACATGTACCAAACGGTCAGTCTGGACATATAATTTTAGTGAATTATTGTAGTTGTGGATTGTACAGCCTTGGACAAAAAACTCCCGTTTCAAACCAAAACAAGATCTAACAATCTCATTATTTCAGGCTTATTTGTCCAGTTAGTACTCACTGGCAACCCTGGTAATCAAAATAAAACATATTCTGTGAAGTAACATATAAATGCGTTTTTAAAAGATAAATTAATAATTTGACATAACAATAGCTGTATTGGAAGAATAATAGTTTTCAATATTTATCTCTAAACTGAATTATTGAAGTATTAAAATACATCTGTACTGCCTTACTTTCTGTGTACAAATCTGGCATTCTTTTGTATTTCACACTGTAGCTTAAATATTTTATAATCTTTCAAGTCTGTCGAAGCTATAGTTTTCGCTGTTTTCAGATTTACTTTCTTCTTAAATAACGTGCTCTTGGCAGATTACAGCTCTTCCCTAAGTGTATCTTTATTAATCAAAACATGAAATAAGTTAGTACTCGAAACATAAAAATCATATACATTTTCTATTAAATATCTCATTACATTAATATATATTTTTTGATACAATACCTCAAGCGCTATTCGATATCCACTTTGCAAAACTTTGTTAGATTTATATGAGGATAAATTTAGATTTATATCAACATAAACTTCATGCAAAGCTTTGCTAGTTTAATATCAGAATAAATTTCTCGCAAAATTTTGTTAGATTTATATTAGGATATCTCTCGCAAAATAGGAAAACTTTTCCACAAAGCTTTGTCAGCTTTATTTGAAGATAAATTTCCAGTAAGACTTTTTTAGATTTATATCAGAGTACATTTCTTGTAAAGCTTTTTTAGATTTATATCACAGTACATTTCTTGTAAATCTTTTTAGAAAATCTAACAAAGCTTGACAAGAAATGTACTCTGATATAAATACAAGAAATGTACTCTGATATAAAGCTTTACAAGAAATGTACTCTGATATAAATCTAACAAAGCTTGACAAGGAATGTACTGTGATATAAATCTAAAAAAGCTTCAGCTTTACGTATAATTTATCCTGGGATATATCTAACAAAGTTTTGCGGGAAATTTATCCTAATGTAAATCTAACAAAGCCTTGTAGAAAATTGATTCTGATATTAAACAAACTGTTAGATTTATATCAGGATAAAATTATTGCAAACTTTGTTAGATTAGCGTCTTCCAAATGTTAAGATTTATTTCATAAATAAGTTACTAAATATAACTTGGTACTGATTTTGTTCGTTCATGTGTTTGTTGGTAAGCACAAGGCTACACGACAGGCAATCTGTGCTCTGTTGAAAGCAGGTATCGAAACTCGATAGCGTTTTAAGCCAGCAGACTTTCGGCTGAACCACCGGATGAAGGAAGGGTAATGTTCCTGTGAACTGCTAGAAATTGTTGGTTTTTAATAAGCTGATGAGATGTCTGGATTTTTATAACGCAAGTACCCTGCTGAATCAGTGGTAAGTGTAAACACTTACATTATTAAAATGCGAGGCTCGACTCCTCGTGGTGGACAGAACGCAGATAGTCCATTGCGTAATTTGTACTTAAAAGACGATCCGAAACTATTATTTGCATATCTGGATGCTCTACTAACGTGTTTTACATAAACCTTTGTTGTTTCATTATTGCATTATTTTTTTATAATATTTTATAAATAAATACGTTATTGTTGCTTACGTTCAATAGCTAAGAAGTAATTTTTAATACTGCTTATTCTTATCCTTTATCCTCAGTTCTTGTCTAAAGCCTAAAACTTTCTTGAACATCAGCACGTATGGATCTTTGAATCTAGGAATAGTTATTTTTAAGTGTTGTAATAAGATATCATCAGCGTGATAGATATACAAATAAATTATAATATATTACTTATAAATTTTAAAGTTTATAGTACATAAAAATATCCTAATAGTTATAAGCTTATCGATGCAAGGCAAAATTAATTTTGATGCTAAGTTTGATTTTTTCGCTAGGTGGAGTTCGATGATGTCATTGCCGAACCAGAAGGCACTTATTCTGTTGATTGTGTATGGAAGACCGCCTATAAGATTTTTACCGGAACAAAGAATTGCTGTTACAAATTCCTAACCATACTCTGCGCTTTCCCTATCGCTTTGGCAGTCGGTTGCAGTTTCGCTATTTTATCATTCCAGCACATCTGGTGTATTGGCCCAGCTATACGTCATTTCCGGATCAACTGCCATATAATTCGGCTGTACGTTCGCACCTGTCTTGATTCCTGTTTAGCTCCCTGTTGCACCGACATGGGCCTCTTTTTCAGCAGAATTCGGATCGCCAAGGGTCCAGGAACAGACGATCAAGTTGTGTGATTGTTACGTTTATCTTATAACATCTGGTCTCAGTGTACGATACAACTGCATATGACCATTTGTAGAGGAACATTTTGGAAACAGCCTTTCTCTTATAATCAACTATCACCTTTATATAACTAAATCCAAGAGTTATTTCTCACTCTAAAACTTTTCTTTTTTCCGTTTAAACACTAAAAAAAATCATTATATAAATAGCTAATTACGTCTTTTCAAATCTTAGTTTTAAAAAAGCATTATCAAAAGGCAAAAGTACAAATTATTTCATTCCGGTATGTTTATCATTTCAAAGCTATAAGAACATACATAAACGTGTAGTGCTCGAAACTCAAAAATAAAACGACCAACTTTCTTCTGAAATTAAAATGTTATACATATATACATTATGATTAATATATTTTAGTTTCTTAGTTGTTGTTTTCATGTTTGGCAATTTGATAGATAATGTTTGTATGGCATTATTCATCATATAACAAAGTTCAATTGTATATGTTCTTGACCACCACTTAACATGAATGTTAACTAAAACATAGTGTTTCATGGAAATATGTTCCTACAAATAACATTTATAAATATATCCTCTTTTATACTTCCAGTAATGTGAAATATCTTATGGAGTTGTTCATTTCCTAGTATTTATCCAAGGGTTAAAACTCTTGAATCTGTGACGTTTACACTATTATCAATAATTTTTTGAACCTTAAAACATTATTTTATCTATGAATTGCATGTACTGTTGATAACTTTAAAACTATTTATGTAACATATACTGGAGAAACATCTCATAAGCATGCATAGTTTATTACATTCGCTACACTATTATTTAAGAAGTAGTCACTAGTAGACTAGAAATAAAGAGAGTTCCTCATGAAACGTTTTCTACAACCTTATTTTACTTGAATTATTTCTTGTTCTCATCCCTTTCTCTTTTGTTTTTCTCTTATCATCTCTGCAGCTTTAAGTCTCATACCATATGTCCCTGTAGTCAAATGCGACTTTCCTAATTCTCATTCACACCCTCTAGATTTAGCTTTCCTTCTTCCTCTTCCTTATGTCCCTTTCCTCTTATTTTCACCAATTTTCCCATACTTCGCTTAGCTTTCTGTTGTTCATGCCCAAAGTATCCTTTCTAGTTTTTAGCATCTTGATTCCGCTTCTTCCTTTTTCTCTAACTGTAATACTTTTTAATCTCCTCCCATGTTTGGATGTCTATTTTTGCTGAAAGTAATAAAGAAAAAAAAAGAGTCGAAATAATTAGCAAAATCGGTAAACTGCGATTCAAAACTTAACACACGAGGCCTGTTAAACGACTGACCACAGTATATTTTTACAGTTTTAATAGACTGACCACTGTATACAGTTATATTTCCCACAACATTTAATTGAGGGCGCAGGAACTAAGGGTGCTGAGGGTTAGGCAGCACACATTGGCTCGGCATACGGGAGCGCTTGGAACCTTAAAATAAATATGTAATTATATACATTACTATCTTTGTAAATAGGGTTTCCACCTGCCCAGTTTTTGAACGGAGTAATCGGTTTTAAGTTCATTACTCCGATTCTACAAATACATCGTTGCTATCATCTACGGGGTTTCGTTTTTATTCAATGCTTGTCAGCACCCCACTACAGAAATTGTTCCAGTGTCAATGCTTTTATTTATTTTTTACTCAGTTTTTGTTTCCGAAATAGTTTGTCCCAGGGTAATAATATTCTAAGAAAGGTTATATATTTCAAGAAAGATTAATATTTGCACGGAAACAGTACCACTGCGTCAAGCATGCCAATCAATCCTAATGTTTCTTTCCTATTGCATTGCAACTCTTGGTAATAACGTGTCGAAACGATGACGTAATTTAGCACGTAAGATACACATGATTTGGGTGAAACGCACATATCCATGAACATCGGTACCAGACAGAGTTATAGCGCACAGCGACATGATGTAGCCCGTGATATTGATAAACTAAACCCACTCTGATACAAAAAATCAAGACTGTATTTATATCTAATCTTCATGCGTCAATTGATGAAATTCTAGTAGCCAGTAGAAAATACATAATTGAATTTCAGTATATCCACGTGCTCTTGAATTTGTGTTTTAAAATCGTTTATCTAATCAATGAGCACCTTTGACAGTTAAGTATTTAAAAATAATAGTTAGTTATGTGTGTTATAAGTATATATATATATATTTATTATTTTCAAGCGACGTCAAATGTGAAATATGATGAGTATGCATATTTTGTTCTATTTCAAATAGATGTTAACTCTTCCAGCACTACGAATTTAAAATTAAAGAAATAAAATCTACAAAACTGTTGATCAGAGATGTAAACTTTGTGCGTGGATACATAAATTACTTTATGAAATATTCATGATATTCAGTTAGGTAAAGAAAGTAAACAGCACTCGTTGTAGCGTGTTTTTAATTCTGTGACGGATTCAAATCGTGAAAATCCTTAAGATGTGTATTTTTTTGACAGTTAAATCTTGAAGTGTGGTGTGTTTACAACTTAGACTTAAGACTTAGTGTGTAGGAAAAAGGGTTTTAATTCCAAGTGAAGAAGATCTCTGTAAATTAATATAATCATCATCGTTTATGTAATTGTAACTTAATTCATAACTTATTTCAATGTAAACAAAATTTACTATTGTTCATAAATGTTTACTATTTTCAAGATATCACGAAAGAACAGTTTGGAATATTACAGCTTGCTGGAAATGATCAATAACGTTAAGACATTGCAATGTAACTTCTGGATTCTTGTGTTTTCAACTGTTCTTTTCGTACAGAATGTGCAAATAACATGTACAGAAGTGGTTTCAAGCAGCGCAGGTACAAAGCTGAGGGATAAATTGTTTGTTTCAGGCAACATTGGAAATGTATAAACACTCTATGGATGCTTCACGCGTTTTTCTGGAATCACTGACCATGATACAGAAGAGATGAGGAGCTGAAACATGGAAGCACTAGTAATAACTTGAAATGCTTCATTAGCCTGTGCCCGGGTTTTTAAACCCAACCAGTCACAAATAAATTATCTTTACGGTCGTAGATTATAAGTTTGACTTTCATTGTTGTAAGGATGATTAAACGTTGAACTGTTAAATGTTACAAACAATTAGTTAGAGTTATTAAAGCGTAGTTATCAAAATAACTGTGACGTTTGCTTTATCATATGTTTCAATTAATAATCTCAATAACACATTACGTTTGTAACGTTAGTAGAACAAAACAAATATAAAAGGAAAACTTTTCTGAGCATAAAAGTAAAACTTTAGATCATGAGAAAGTAGCGCATGCGCTTTTGTAATACACCACCATACAATTAACCAGCGCATCGTAGCAATTCAAATGTTTTAGTTAGGAGAATAGTATAGTAAAATAATAAGAAAATTCGGAAACTTCTTCATTTACTGTGTAATTGAAATTCAATAAAATCCAACAGTTGTTTAAAATGATAAAGTTTCATTTTTGCTTTTTCCTGTGCTTAATTCTTTTTGTCCTTCTACAGAGGATTGTGTATATTATATTACAACGATTTTAATATGCAAATATGGAAGTCACGTGAAAATCATAGTCGATCTAGAATTAAATTGCAGTCGAACAGAACGTATCAGAACTACATTTTGACATCGTGTAGCATTACGTAGATAGTGCGATGCCACCGAAAACTGGTCGCTATGGAGAAGGTCGTATAACAGCCATTTCCTATGCCAGGTATTCATATATTCAGATATGTTCAAATCGAGGATTTAAAATTTCCAAGACGGGATGTTCTTTGTACTGAATGGAAAGCAGAGGAATATGTATAAACTTGGGGTGCCAGGATCATTCAGAAAGAGACCTGTAACAAGTCATATCACAGACGTCGTAAGCAATGTGTAGCGTCTAGTGACAGGTGAGAATCCAATAACACAAATATCAGTGGCAAAAATCGTCAGAGACAATAAACAGTATGCAACATAATTGAGAAAGATCCACGTCTAGTAAAGCGACGCAAGTCACGTTGTACACATATTGCTTCTACAACAAATCTGTTCAACTGCTGCATATCTCAAGCAGCTGGAAAATGAATCAGGTGTTTATGATACTCCATAAGAAAAAGTATCGATCAAGTCGCCTGACGCAGCACCTAAGAATTTCTGTGCGATGGGAAATCGTCGTCACCGTAGACTAGGTGGATAAATGAACGCATATATGAAAGAGTTGTGTGCTTGAAACACGACAGTTTTACAATAGAGCCTCCTGTAATGGAAACTACGCTGTAAAAATATTGTTAAGATACATGGTCACCAGTCAGACATGATCGGATCTTCAACATGGACTGTAATGTTGTGGTTAGGTTCTAAAAGCGTTTTAATATAATGTACACTCTATAAAAAAAAAAAACGTATGCAACAAAGAAAATTCGTAAAAGTACTATACTGATTAGAAAAGCTTTGAGAACATATATATCTCATTTTCTTCCTGTTAATTTTATCTCTCTATAACTTTCATATAAAGCTATTGAGCTTCGTATATACTTCTCTAGATTTTGGCTGTATTTCTATATCCACTCTTAACCTCCAACAACTTATACCTATATTTTCAGCCTAGGCAATCTTTTTCGTTTCAATTTTAACAACTAAGTTTACATAGGCCTGCGATGATCTCATTGTCTTGAAGGTTTTACCTGTTTTACGGTAATTCTTGTACGAAATCCGAAAATATCCATTTTTCTCCATCACGTACATATTTTTCACAAAACGTCTTATGTATTTTTACATAAGTGAATCATTTTCATTGAAATCGGGTCACGTTTTGTTACACTTAAAATGTTAACAACCACTGGTTATAGATTTACTTAGACCAATCGCGACGTGAGAGTCTTATCGATGGTTCTAGAACCCACAAGAAACAGACATAATAATAAAAATTTTCATTTTGGCAAACGAAATAATAATTTGATCTAAGTAGGAGTTTTCCTTCCAGATTTCTAAAAACTCTTTACGTGATAGAAAAAAATTAATATTATTTTCGAAATCTGCGTAGCTGAACTATGGAAAATCCGTTATTAGAACCAAAACAACTTTTATGAAGTTTAAATTCGCAGGCTTGTAAAATACTGGACTGAACTGTTTAGAAAAAAAATTGGACTGAACTAAACAATGCTATAGATTCGACTGAAACAACTAACGATTTAACCACAAACTGAACTGAAAACAAGTACACTGAAACTAACCACAAAGATGCAGTTTCACAGACTCTATTTAACTCAGTCAAATTATTTTTTCCTATGTGAATGTTGAATCGATGACCTGTTAATATAATCATGTAAAGCCAGCAAGATAAAAGGAAAGGAGTTAGAGAATAAATGCTAAATCACTACTCCAAACCTCAATACAGTATACGAACTCCATATGTTAACGACTGTCATTGTTCATCCAGAACAGCTAGAAGTTTGTGTGTCGCCTGTGTTATTCATTTTGTTTAGAAAGATGATGTTGTTTTAGGCGTTGGAAAGTTTGCATTAGATCAATCATAACTATATTTGTTCACTTTCATTTATCAAAATCTCAGATCAACCTAGATTAATCGTAGAACTTCCTGTTTTTGTGAACTTAACTTACTCTCGGTCAACATTAAATATTACTATGTGTTTGTTTAGAAATGCCCTTTCGATTGGTTACAAACCCATATAACACTAAACTCCTTGTGTTGCATCATATTAGAGCTAAGATAAGTTAGTTGAAGTAACATTCATAACATTTAAAATAGGTTGATTTTAGTACCTTCACTAACGGTTGAAATCAGTTGGTTGTAGTAACTTCAATACTATTTAAAATCAGTCGGCTATAGTAACTTCCCTAGTGTTTAAAACCGGTTGCTTTTAGTAATTTCAATAGTAAAATTC